ATTGCTGTTAAAAATATTAAGGTAAATTGACAAGATCACTTGGCAAAATCACACTTTTGAGGAATTAAATAAGGCAAGCAATAATCAGAGGAAATTAAAACAGTTTAACCATACCAAAACAACACAATTTGTAACTCTTTACAGGTAAAAATAAAGAAATGTTCCCTTCATTTCACATCATACTTCTTTACAATGTATTTACTGAATTTATATCCAGCCTTTTTCCCAAGATGGGATTCAATAAATAAATGACGTATAGATAACTATCACCATATTAAGTTTCTTTGAGCCCATGAATGTATACTTTGTTTACTGGTTCATAATATAGTTAATTTCTGAAATATTTTCCTTTGTTATTTTTCTATGACATGCCACAGATTCAACAATCTAACAGAAATTCGTCCCACTTTACTTAGCCCCCATTCATTATAAAATAGCAAAAGAAACCAGTGTACTCAGGTCTTTTTATATAATATATCCCATAGAAATTCACATTTAAAAAGGGTAGAATTCGATAACCTTTTCAAATGCAGAGCTTGTACCATTCTAAAAGGCAAATCAGTCACCTGTCTAAGCAGGTTGCAAGATGAAATCATTACAAGGATAGCAAATCCAGTGCACTAATTTTTAACACATTAAAGACAGGGACGCAAACATATTTTTAGGACTTACTCTCTCCATCTCCATCTTTATCAAATTCTTCAATCATCGCCCGCAGTTCTTCATCAGTCATGTTTTCCCCGAGTTCTCTAGCTACACGGCGCAGGTTTCTTAAGCTTATTTTACCTGAATCATCATCATCGAACAATTTAAATGCCTTGAGTATCTCTTCATGTGGATCTCTGTCAAGTATCCAATCAGTCACTAAAATGAAAAAACGTGAAATCTGATCATCTTCTATGGAGACGTTTTTGTTCTTTCAGTATTATTCTGCACAAAAATTGCTCTAACTTTCTCCCTAGCTCTTGGCTTTCTGACTCTGATTTAAGGTGTTCATCACAAATGTGCCTGAAGAAATTTGTTGGTGCAAGCATGAATTTATACTCATAGAGCAGGCATGGAAATCATTAAACTTCTAGTGGTTGACTATACTTTACAGTATAGTCACTAGTGAGGAATCCTGGGAGTTGCAGTTCAACAACTTCTAGAGGGCTGAATACTTCTTATTCCTACCACAAAGGAACTGAATATATTGAACATCATACTAGCACACACACACACACAAAAGGTAGATGAGCTGCTCATTACTGCAGAAACCTCTCTCTTTTGCTCATTCTGTAGGAACAGAAAACATTTTAGCAACAAAAGATACAGCATCCTGTGTGCATAAGTTTTGAATACCAAACCACCAAAGAGGTATAACTATTCTTCCACATTTGGATTTTTGAACAGAAAATAGTGTCTAAAATTTTAAAAAAATAAAAGCAACCAAGTTTTTAAAAAATTTAAAACAAAAATGATAGCATGCTTGCAAAAGTTATGCCTTATCCCTTTTATTCAGTTTTCATAATCACTATGGGGTAGGGAGAACAGCAGAAAGTGTGGCTTGAATTGTATAAGTTGTTGGAGAAATTCTGATAGTCCTCTATTTCAAAAGAAATTTTAATGTTTTAAATATTAAAAAAGACTTTGGCTGACTTTTAAGAAAAAGACGAGCTACACTTCTAGTTACTATTTATTGCCAATTTTCCTGTCAGTATTGTTTAAAATCCAATACCCACCAACTTCATTAAAATCTTCAAACGTGATTTTTCCATTTCCTTCCCGATCATAATCTTTAAGTATCTTTAGTACGTCTGCTTTTTTCACATCAAAACCTAAAGCTCTCATTGCCACCTTTTGGGAAAAGACAGAAATGCAACATTTCAGATTTAGCATATATAGTTTTTACACAAACTACACTGAAGTAAAGGTGTCTCTGAATAGTGAGAGACTGATATAAAATAATCTAAAAAGATCCTACATAATCTTTAAAAAGTCATGCCCAGTAGCAACACCTAAATTGTTTCAACACATGATTAACTCAACATATTATAATAAAAATCCATTTATTTCTGGTAGCTCAAATATTTTCCAGATATTAAAGAAAATATCAGCCAGATGTACAGAACTGTAAAGACATTACTTCAAATAGATAAACATTTTTGCAAGTCTGCACTTTTCCACAAATAGCCGTGAGGACCAAAAATAGAAATTAGGTTAAATAAAAAAAATAATGTAGACTGATTAACAAAATAATCAAACAAAGACTATTAAAAGTTACTTACACCAGATATAACCAGATTCTTATAACAATTAACTGGGATGGATACAGGTTATAGAATCATAGACTAAGAGCTGGAAGGGACCACAAGGATCATTCCTTACTATGCAGGAATACACAATCATATCACTCTTACTCCTTTCTTCTCTGAGCTAAACCTACCCAACTTCCTAAGTCTCTTCTTGGTTTTCAGACCTTCTCTAGACATGTTGCAGCTTGTCAATATCTTTCTTGAATGATGGTTCTCAGAAACAGACACAGGAGAGGATAACCCAAAGCCAGCTTGCCTCTCAGCAACATAGACTGAACGGTCCTATTCCCTTCTCTACTCAGCCTGATGAAATGGAGAGCAGCATGACAGATGCACTCCCCTTTAGCAGCTAATGAAGCATCGACCAGTTTCACTGCAATGGGATTTGCCACTATCTGGCCAGCAATCCGTGCCATAATAACCACATATTTGGCTTAATCTAACACTTTCTATAAGGGGCTGCCCTTGCTAAGCGTTCAGAAACTACAGCTAGTGCAAAACAGCTAGTAGAGTAACACTTTTGTCCAGTGCACATTATACATATCATATAATACATTCCTCTGCCTCCCAGTTTGTTTCTGAACACAATTCAAGGTGCTGACTCTAACCTTGAAAGCCTTGAATAGCTAGGGCCAACAGATCTGAAAATCCACCTCTTCTCATATAAATCTGTCTAAAATTTGGAACTGTGATCAAAGATCACAGCCTAGAGTGGCAACCCATAAACAAGTAAAATAATCAATTAAATACATTTCCTGTTTCTGATGGGTAAGTGGAGGATATTCAACAACGGACCAAAGCAGCATTCCAAATTTGATATCTGAACAACCCATCATCAATTCACTCAGGGAATGGGCTGGCTAGTCCTCACACAGCCCACTTACTGCCCTTTGAGAACCTAGAGCCATTTAGGTTAACTAACACTTTCCTCTGGAGGCATATCTGGGAGTCCCTTGGGGTCCTTTTAGCCTTGTTAGCATTGCTTCTTAAGTGAAACTGCCTAAGGAGTAGCACTAACCCAACTAAAAGCTGAATGAAAGTTCAACTCTATTTGCTCTACTGCTGATGGGATGAATTAAGGCAGTTGGAGGTGCTCACAGACTTGACAGTTAGCCATCCTTGTTCTATACATATTGTATTATGCCTTGTTTACCAACATTGCAAATGAAATGTAATACCTAAAAGCAACCCCCCAAATAAGGACACAACAGGATGAAAATGTGTACCTAAAATTCCTTATCTTTAGATGTTAAAATATGGTATCAGATTAATTATGTCTTTTCAAGGCTTTACTACAATGAAATGCCATAATAATAATAATTAAAAAAAAAATAAAACCTCTGCAAGTTGTAATATAATGAAACGTTGCAGAAAAAGAGCAGCTCTATGAAAGAGACTGGTCAGCAATCAGGAGTATCTGCCATCTAAGCCACTTTTTGACACTAACTGAGAGTGGGAAAACTTGGCGCTATAACTTCTTGAAAATTAGAGTGTTTATTATATAAAGTCTACAGTCACAACAACTTTCATGATAGTATGTTGCCATGAAATCAGAGGGCCTTCCTTTAAATTGACCACGTTGAGGATTGTATTTCATAAGAACCACTAAAGACATTCAGAATAAGCTGAACAGCCACATAACACCACTAAGATGTTTTACGATAAATGTAAGCTGTGGTGCTATGCTATTTTTCTTTCTTTCTAAACCTATGGCTTTCTCTGACATCTATAAATTTATCTATAAATATGAACTCCATATATTCTAATATTTACCTTGAAGTGGTTCTGCCTTCCAGCTTCTTCATACACGATAAAAATTACAAACATTAAAAGGTCAAATTAAGAGCTGATGCAATATAGTAGTACACTGTCTGCTAAAACCAAATTCAAGTCTCACTTCACAACACAATGGCCATATTCTCTCAATCTCAGCCTCTTCTATAACATGTGAATAACAACAACATGGGAATAGTACTGACCTGTCTCACCAGATTATTGAAAAAGTACACATGAAGCACTTTGAACATCCATGAACTGCTACAGTATGCTATTACTGCACATTCCTTCCCCGCAAACCACAGCAACATGAGCTTTTCAGGCTTGTAAAATAAGTACCGGTAGTCAGTCCCTCTGTACCACACATCTTTTCCCATATCAGTTGCCATGGCTTATACAAGAACAAGACTGAGACTGGGAGACAGGCCTTATTTTAGGCAAGGAGCAGGGGAGCACATGCATGAGCCTAGAGACCCAGCTACAAAGCAGAGCTGTTAGATTGGTGTAGTGTCCTTCAGACAGCTGTTGTCAGCTGTTTAGTTTCCAAGCTTGTGCTTGAAGCTGACTGCTAAGTCTCTTTTCCTCCTTAGGCATAAAATGATGTTGGCTGCACAAAATAAAGGTGGGCAGAAATAAAAAGAGAAACAGCATGTATAAAGGGTGCCAAAAGGGAATGCATCATGGTTGAGTGTTCACGAGTAGGATCAATGTAGCAGCGTGGGATGCTAGGGGTCTTAAAAATATCATCTCTCCAATACCTTCATGTCACATTTTCTCATTCTCCCACAATTGAGAAAACACTGTGGGAAGATAACCACTTTGAAAATGAGGGTTTGGCTCTGCACTGTGCAGGTATTCAATCCCCAAGAGATCAGCTCCAAGGGAATGCAGCTATCAATGAAAAAATATGAGCTACTTCTTTTGCTGACAGCCAGCATGGCAGTGGTTTGGGTGCTAGACTATGACTCTGGAGACTAGGGTTCAATTCCCCACTTGGCCATGAAAACCACTGGATGACTATGGGAAAGTCACATGCTCTCAGCCTCAGGGGAAGACAATGGCAAACCTCATCTGAAGAAATCTTGCCAAGAAAACCCTATAATACATTCACCTTTGGGTTGCCATAAGCTGGAAACAACCTGAAGGTGCACAACAATAAGAAACTCCTTGGACATAAGAACAAAAAACAAAACAAAACAGCTAAGACTTGAAAGGGCAATTATAAGGGAACTGGACAGAATCCTTATGTGTAAAGATACCAAAGTTAGGCTCATCCATGTCAGTCTTTCCAATTTCTATTTATGGTTATGGGTGCTGGACAGTGAGGAAAGCTGTTAGGAAAAAGCTAGCTCATTTGAAATGTAGTGCTTGAGGGGAGTTCTATGGAGATCATGCATTACCAAAAAAACAAACGGTTCTGAGAACAAATCTGAACTTTCCCAAAAGCCACTATCATAATTTGGACTTATCATGAGACAACACGATTCACTAGACACTGAGTAGAAATCAACAGGAAAAAGGAAGACTGATGTCACAGAAGCCACAGCCCTAAACTTGCAAGACTTGCAGGGCCATTGATGACTGGGACTCTTGGAGGTCTCTCATTTGGAAGGTCACCATAGGCTAGAGCCAATTTGATGGCAAATAACAGTAGAATTAGAAATAGTGTTATAAATTATGTATATTACAAATCAACAACTTCATTGGACTTTTCTCATTTCTAAAACTTCACAAAATTACTATCTAATACAAATGATGTACATTTAAAAACACAGCCTAAATACTGTGACTGATTTTCCCTCCTCCAAAACAAAACTATTACAAAACAATACATCAGACTTTAAAAGAAAGTTAATTGCCTTTAGTTCATGATAATCTATAGCTTTGTCTTTATCCGTGTCAAACAGCTCAAAAGCATCTTTGATCTCCTGCTTCTGTTCTTCAGTTAAGTCTCTTCTTTTCTTTCTTTTGTTTTTTTCAACAGAAAACTCTGCTCTGTAATATGAAGAAAAACAATTTGTACAATTCATTATAGAAAGCATCATGTGATGATTATTATTACTATTATTATTATATTTACTCGTATCCTTTCTTTTGCTCTTAGGAGCTTATCGCAACAATAATAAAACCGGCCTACCTGAGCTGGCTTAAAATTTAAAACGGGCAGCATCCTGATGTTATAAGGATTTAGCCACTGAAATTGCCACCCAGGGCCATCCCTGCTCCCAGGGGCGCTCAGTGCATCTCTTTTCGAAGTCAGGAATTTTCTGGCTTAAGGAAATGGCCACCGGAGTGCCCCTGGAAGCGGGGATGGACCCAGACGGCAATTTTGGTGGCTAAATCCTTGTGATAACATCAGAATGCTGCCCATTTTAAATTTTAAGCCAGCTCAGGTAGGCTGGTTTTATTATCGCTGTGATAATCTCCTTAGTTCAGGACTCAAGCCATTTTACAACAAATATAGCTAGAAATTCAGAGCATACAGAAGTTAAAAAATGTAATTAAACTACAAAAAATTAAAGCCTGTTAAAAACATAAACCATTAAAAAAAAACACACAAAGTGAGTAGAAAAACCAGCATATTCTGCAAGGCCCATTCCCCCTAAGCAATCAGTTTTTAAAGGCCTGATGAAACAAAAAGATATTCTACATAAAGATAACAAGGGGAACCAACTTAACCTCTTTAAGTAGGAAGTTTCAGAACCTGGGAGCATCCATCAGATGCACCTGAAGATGGTGGGAGAGAAAAGCCTTCCCAGAAAATCTCAAAACACAGGCACACTCATATGGGAGAAAACATTCCTACAGATAACATGGACTTGAGCCATATAAGGCTTTATAGGCATAACCAGTATTGTGCCCATAGCACAATGAGAACTCTATGCTCCTTGTAGGCAGTTCCAGTTAATCTGGCTGCAGTTCTTTGGACCAGGTGAACTTTCTGTACAGTAATTTAAATGGGATAAAACTATTTGATAAGCCATGTATCACCATGGTCAGCATCTGTGGTCCAAAACACATTGCATAAATAATCTAGATTGAGACCGCTTTAACT